AATAAAAAAACAATGTCTTCTTTTCTTTTTTGGCAACATATTAATTTCAATTTTCTACCTCACATGTTTAAGATTATTAAATTAAAAGACATTCTGATATGTTTAATTTTAGGACGATACAACTAAAAAAATTTCTTTATCTTTTTTAAAAATTCGTGTTAAATTAAATTAGAATTAGAATGTGTGACATGAAATCTTAATAGGGAGATATTGGTCTAGTGGTCTTTATGTTTTATTTTTTCTTGCTGATGAGTGTAAATTCAACACTTACAAGTGGTGTATGCACTAGTACAAAAGAGTCAAATGTCAACTTATTACTTCTCACTTTCAAAAATGTTTTTGTTAACGTTTGTCATAAAATTTCAAATATTGTTATAGTTAGATCAAGTTTTTTCATTATAGACTACTGAAACAATTTATTTTTTTTAAGAGAGGGAGCACAAATGCTCCAGCAAGGAGGTGCAAGAGATAAGCGATAATAAATTTGATAAAAGGTAAAAATAGATCGAAAGTAACCTGTAATTTATCTAAACTGAAAATGTCATCACTGGGGGTTCATGTCCAAAAGTTATAAGGATGTGAAACATTAATTTATCATTACATGCATAAGTACATAAGATAAATCGATGCCTTTCTAGCGTTATGTATTTCTTTTTCTCCTAATAAAATCATTCATCAAAATTATGATATTTTTTTTTAAGATAATAATCATTAATTAAGTAATCAAATAAAAAATGAATCATAAAAAAAAAAAAAAAAAGTTCAAGCGCGAATCCTAAAAGTAATACTATCACTTCAACCATGTGATGTTATTTTGGGCTTCTGGCTTCAACTTCTTTTTTTATTTTCAGAAAAAAGTTATTTCTTATTTAATAATTCAACTAATATATAATATCTCAAAAATCATTTTCTTCATCATTAGGATTTTAACCAATCCCCTTTTAAGTCCTATCCCCTTTGTTTAGGGACTTCTTCGTAAGTAATACATATTCCATAACTAAATAAAATATAAGTTATCAATATATAAAATTAATATGATACATGAAAATTTAGAAACAGGTATGATCAATTAATAAATATATAAATTATTAACTATTTTTGTATCATCTTACACAAGACAAAATGTGTAATAACTAACGTTCCCCTCGCGGCATATTAATTGACTAGTTATTATTCATGTTACTTAATAAATCATAAATAGGAACTTTACTAATTCATTCTTTTTTGTAATATAATAAACAATTATTATTTTTTTTAAATATAGTATATATATATATATATATATATATA